ACACTTATTTTATAAATAAAAGCAAACGAACACTATTTTGTACTGATGACTTCTGATTTTGATTGCCCATGGTGATCTCCCCCTTGGCTGTTCCAGAATCTGGGTGAGAGTTCCTGCCTACCTTGAGAAGGTAACAACTAACTCTCAACAACAGGCAGACTGGGTTGATGTGGGTCTATGGTCCTTTAAGGCAGCATCTTGAGTTGGCTGGCTGGAGCTGTGTTTGGGGATGCTTTGTGGGTCTACTGGTGATGGGGGGGGGGGGTGGGCTGAGCAGTCTGGTCCAGGAGACCCAGTCTGTGGTGACAGCTTACACAATAGACCATCCAACAGCCAAGAGCTTGAAAATTTAAGTTTACCCTTTGAATGGCTCTGACCTTCATCCTCTCCACAATTTCTCTAGTTTGAAAGTGTTGCCGGTCACCTGTGTCTTACTCTTTGAGATCCCATGGACTGTAGCCCGCCAGGCTCCTCTGTCTGGGGGATTCTCCAGGCAAGAATACTGGAGTGGGTTGCCATGCCCTCCTCCAGAGGATCTTCCTGATCCAGGTATCAAACTCAGGTCTCCTGCATTGCAGGCAGATTCTTTACCATCTGAGTTACCATGGAAGCCCTTCTCTAGTTTAGACCCTAATTAACCAGTGTTTTTTTTCTTTGTTGTTTAATTTTTTGGCTACACCACACAGCATGTGGGACACTTGTTCCCTGGTTAGAGATTAGATTCGCATCCCCTGCATTGGAAGCATGGAGTCTGGACCACCAGGGAAGTCCCCAATGGGTGTTTCACCAGTCTCTGCCTTTAGTACCTCCTGATGCAAGTCAAAACTGTCTCCATATAACAACCGGGTGATCTTTCCAAACAACAATTTGGGTTTCATCACTCCTTTGGCACCCTGCTATCTAAGGATGGAGTTCTAGTGGCTCAGCAAAGCCTAAAAGGCACAGCACTACCCAGGGGCCTGTGCCACTCTCTGGCCTTGTCTCTTGCCACTGTGTTGTACTCATGGCCGGCAAACCAACCTACTCACCTGCAGCTCTTGAATTCATTATCTGGTTACACACTTGACACATTTCTGTACTTTCACCAGCCATTCCTTGCTCCTAGAATATGACTTTCCTCTTCCTCTCCTCCCAGCCTGGAAGACATCTGCTCATTCTGCAACACGGGTTCCAAAGGAGCTGACAGCTCTGGGCTCTGAGCCGCTCTTCTGGCCCCATCACCCCCGCCCTCAGACAAAGGCCTCTCACTAGGAAACATCTGCTGGGCTCCAACTCCTTCCTTACACATCTGTCTCTCTGGTTTTCTCTGATGGATCCAGTTCTTGGAGCACTTCAGTTCTCAATGAAAGTTTGAATTATGGGATAGAAATATATATATATATATATACATATATATATATATATATATATTTTTTTTTTTTTGACAAGACAGATGTAGAAAACAAACTTATGGTTACTAGGCGGGAAGGGGAAGGGATAAATTGGGAGGTTGGGATTGACATATACACACTATCATATATAAAATAGATAACTAATAAGGACCTACTATACAGCACAGTGAACTCTACTCAATACTCTGTAGTGACTTAAAAGAAAAGGCCATTATAGAGGCCTTTTATCTGTCTATCTAAACAAGAGTGGATATATGTATAACTGATTCACTTTGCTATACAGCAAAAACAAAACACTTTTTTATTTTTAGTTGCACTATGTTGTATGCAGGATCTTAGTGCCCTGACCAGGGACTGAACCCATGCCTCCTGCAGTGCTGCAGTGGAAGCATGGAGTCTTAACCACGGGACCACCAGACAAGTCCCTAATACAGCATTTTACATAAACTATACTCTGATAAAAATTCTTTAAAACATGAAAAAAAAATTTTTTTTGACAAGGAGTTCTTACTGAAGAAGAGTGATCTACAAACTTTTATGGCTATAGGAGGAACCCCCTGATGACCTCAGATTTTTCAAAGGATGTAGTCAACAGAAGGCTGGGTGGGCTCTTAACCAAGGGAAACATGAAAGAAAAAAATCAATCTGCAAGCACATCAGGGAGGTGAACACACTTAGGAAGCAAAGAACCTCCCTCTTGTAGGCAGCCAAGGTCTGGAGAGGTAACATCACTTGTTTAAAGCCACAGTCAAGGAGGGGTGGACTGAGGACACAGCTCTCTGATGCCCTTTCTGCTTCTTCCCCCTAACACCACGTGGCCATTCAGTCCAATCCTCCTACCGTCCTCATCAGGGGACTCTGACCCCTTGAGTGCCGTTCAATTGTTAAGAGACCTTTGGACAAGTGAAGGCAAACGCAACCGCCTGGCATGGTCCTAAGTCTCTCTTGGGGGCAGTGAGCCTGAGAGCCCCTCCAGGGCCTGGATGGCAGTCCTGGAGGATGCTCCAGCCCCAAGGTTTTCCAGGACCACTGTGAATGGGGCAGACTGGTCAGTTCACAACAATGCAGATGGCCTGAATAACACTGTATCTAAACTGATGTTTATAAGTCTGTTATCAGTCAATTCTAATTTTGGGGTCCAGGGCCCTCTTACCTTGCTCAGAGCAGTAGGCCACAGCTGCAGACGTTCCCCACAACCCTCGAGACTCAGTGGGAGAGTAGGGATCCTACCCCCTCCACCCCCATGACCAGAACGACACAGCACAGCCTCCCACACTCATCCTCTGAAGCCCCCCAGAGACCAGGACAGAGAGGACACGCCTCCAAAGCCCTGAGGGGTACTTAGGTTCAACATAAAAATTTCACAAGGCATCCTGTTTTATCTTATAATTGACATGAGGTTTACACTCTACTCCACAATAGTGTAACAAAAGATGCCCCCACCCCCCCACAAGCAAAACTGATGCTCCGCGCCAGGGCTCTGTTGGGACCTCAGTGCCCGAGAGTCACCCCGGTGGGCAGAGCAGCCTGACAGGACACTCCACTGTAAGCACTTACAGGCACCTTCCACTTACTTAGGTTAATGCCCACAGCCATCCTGTGAGATACAGGCCTCCCCATTTTAGAGATGTGAAGACCTAAAGCAAGGTGCTGGAGGTGGTGGCAGGCCTGACTAGGATTCCCTCTCCCCATGCTCTGCCGCCCCTCACTCCACAACCCTTCAATGCTAAAATCCACAGTTCATGATTTGTGTACTTTAGCCAGTCCTGGACTCTTGGTTCAGGCTCCCAGCCCTACTTCAATGGGAGAACGGGACGGGCAAGGACTGAGAACCAGCAAATGTCTTTGCCAGTCCCTGGCTCTGTGCATTCTTAAGTGTCATTCTCTCTGGGCTTCAACTTCTTCATGTGAACAATGGGGATTGGGGCTGGATGATTTCTCTGGTGCATTAGAGTTTTTCCATTCTGACATTCTAGACATCACCTCAAGGAATGTCCTAACCCTTGTGCTTCTTCCTTCTCACTAAAGAGAAAAGTCCATATTGCCAATTTCCCTTTGTTTTTTTAAAAATAAAAAGCCTGAAACAACACTGTAAGGCCCCTAAGCAGCTCTAGTCCCTACCTCCTCACTCTCCATCTCCTTCCTCCTGATACATACCATGGCCCAGAGGAGCTCAGGGCCCCCTGGGACTCAGAGTTGGGGGTACAGGATGGCAAGAACTTGCTGGATCCCCACAGCCCGAGGGCTTTGCTGGTCAGAGATTCCTTCCCCGATGATCTATTTTAAGGAAGGCATTTGGTGTTTTGTTTTCATGATGGAGCTGCCCAGGGGAGTGAACTGAGGCTCCAGAAACTGCCACAGAGTGAGGACCACTGGAAAGAAGGGCTGCTCAGCTCCCTGGGGTCTCTGCTACCAGTTCCCTCTCTTCAGGGGTGGGTTACCAGGAGGACAAGAGCACAGGATGGACCCCCGCCCAAAGATCCCAGAGACACTCGTATCGTAGGTGGGGCCACAGGTTTGGATCAGGCAGTCTGCGCTTGGAATACTGGTTCCATGAGGACGTCACCTGACCTCCTCTGGGCCAGTTTTCTCATCCGCATCCACTTGTGTAGGCTGTTATGCACTAACACGTGCCTGGGATAGCAGCATCACTCTGAATGGTACACTCCCGGGAGACCCATCACCCTCTGAATGGTACACTCCCGGGAGACCCATCACCCTGGAGGACTCTCCATGGAATGGGGGTGCTGGGGGTGGAGCTGAGGCCCAAACACCCTCGACACCCCAGCCTGCCACCCGGTCATGTGGCTGCATGGCCAGAGCCTCGGGCAGGAGAGCCCTTTGGGCCAAACAACTTAAAACTCTGGGACTCAGCTTCCTCAGCTTTAAAATGGAAGCTGAATCAGAGTTCATAAAAACTGTTCTCAAGGGCTGCCTGAAAACCCCCCTGTAATCTCTCCCAGGTGGGGAGGCCCAGGGGGTGTGAGCGAGGAGGAGGAGGAGCACCACGGGCATTTCCAGGAGGCATTTCCAATAAACGGGCTGTTCCTCCTTCCCCAGGTTGGTCCTACACCGTGGACACCTTGTACAGAGCAAGATGCCAAGGCCCAGAAGAACCAGGTACAGGGCTGGGGAGCACACAGCGTTTGAAGCAAGGCCCCAGCTGAAACCTCAGTCTCCAGAAAGAGTTAGGGAATATCTTACAAGTTTTAGAAAACGGGGTGCTTAGTTCTGTTAGAATTTGCTCACTGACCTCTCTTCCTGGGAGAACCACATTTAGCTTACGACTTAAGAGGAAGCCCTAGGGCTGCTTCAATTCTACCCCATGATTTAGCTCTAGTATTCCAGGGGGCTGGGGGGCTGGGGAAGCCTGGCAGGGGTTGGGCATGGCACTCGGACCTCAGAGGGGGCTGGGTAACACCTCTCTGCATGGGTGGTGACAAAGGAAGACCTGGATTTTGTGGCAGTGGCTGCCCTGGGTGGGGGTCGGTGGGGAGGGGGCGGGGTGAGGCCTCGCGGACAGAGCACTTGAGGTTCACCAGCCCACATGGCCTCAGCCTCAGGGTGAACAAGGAGCGTCCAGGTGGCGGCAGAAGCCCCGCAGGAGGCTCAGCTGGCATTGTTGATGGCAGTCCGAGAGCCCCCCAGCAGCCTTTCACGCTCGCCTTCCTCGGCCGGGGGCCGGCCCCTGGACAGGCGGGCCAGCAGTGGGCGGTGCAGCCCATTGTAGAGGGCGGTGCCCGCCAGGAGGATGAGGAAGCCAAGGATCTGCAGCGGGTGGAAGGCCTCCCAGCCCAGCGCCAGGCTCAGCGCCCAGATGACAACGGTGCGCAGGCTGTCCAGCACCATGCGGGTGGTGGCGCTCAGCTCCTTGGTGACGCTGATGCCCGCGAAGTTGAAGAAGGCGATGCTGCTGATGTTGCCCAGCAGTGCCAGTGCGATGAGAGGCTGTCGGCCCACCTGGCAGAAGGCGTCCAGCGCGTCCTCCAGGGTACCTCGAGGGTTTCCGCTGAAGGAGCCGGCGGGGATGTAGTACATGGGTATCAGCAGCAAGGAGAGGATCACGAAGCCAAAGAGGCCTGCAGGAGTGGAGGGAGCATGTCAGGTTCTCTGCTGGAGCCCCGGTCCTGCCCTGCCGGGGCTCTGCTGACCTCTGGCCACCCCTGCCAAGCCACCTCAAACCAGCTCCTTCCTTTCAGGTCCTGGAGGCATCCTGCTCATTAGAAACTCAAAACTGCCTACTGAATGGGCTCTGGCTGCCCCTTCTCCACGTTTAACCTGTGTTTTCTGACTGGACCAAGAACAGGAAATAGACTTTATATTGTGACCAGTGGACAAGCATGTACACACTGCCACAAAACAGCTATCCTTACAACATACAATGCTGTCTGACATTTTTTAAAATTCAGTTCTATTCACTGACAGAAGGATTGGCTTGCTCCAAGCACTACATTGCTCTCCCAAGTGTGGAGAAACACAGCTCTCTAATTCAGTGCCTTTGGTCTGTGACAAGGAGCTGGACTGGAATGTAAATCAAGGCACTGCTTCACTCAGGAGTAGCTTCCCTGGTGGCTCAGATGGTAAAGAATCCACCTGCAATGTGGGAGACCCAGATTCAACACCTGGGTGGGGAAGATCCCTGGAGGAGGAAATGGCTACCCACTCCAGTATTCTTGCCTGGAGAATCCTCATGAACAGAGGAGCCTGGCGGGCTACAGTCCGTGGGGTCACAAAGAGTCTGACACCACTGAGTGACTAATGCTTTCACTTTCACTCCGAAAGTTTTGCTAGAAAAAAAAACAAGTGGAAGCAATCGGTGTGCTTGATGACATAGCTGATTTAGGTGGTTCACGTTCTGTCATAAGCCCTCAGCTCACAGTGCGCCAGGCACAACCAACTCCCTGAGGAGACCAAGGGTCACACCTTGGTCTAATCCACCCTATTAGTTTAATATTTTTAAAGCACTGATTTTGATTTGCTTTCCTGCTCAAAAACCTTTGGTAGTTTTTCCCTGCCTGTCATTTAAGATCTAAATCCACTTGCCTGATGTTCAAGGTTCTCTACAACATGGCCCTACAACATGACATATTCAATTCCTGGTTATTTTCCTAACATCAAACCTGTACCCCTGCCCAAACTATTCCTCACTGGTTTGCAAACTCATGTCCAGCTCCCCACATTTCCTCTCTGTCTGCAGTTCCCTCCTTCCCACTCTTGCCTGCTGAAACCTGCAGCCCGAATGCCACCTTCCCTGGACCGTGACACTCAGATATGCCTGGCAAGTGAACTATCACTTGAGTAAAGGTGGCCTGCCTGCTCCTTTCTTGGTCAGTTCTAGGAAGTGGTCAGCTCCCCTAAAGTGTGGCTTGCATCTTATTCATCTTCCTCTCTGTCCTCCTTTAGCTCCTGGCTGAGTGCACAGCACATGTCAGAGTATTTGTCAACATGTACATGGTGAAGAGAAGGATGGGAGGTAGGAGGCTCACCCCTCCCAGACGTCCCCAGCACCCACCGGGCCCCCAACATGTTCTCTCCATGTGCCACCCTGCAGGGCTCACCCTACCCAGCACCCTCCCGCCAGCCCATGTTCACACGCACCCTCTGTGCCGACTGCCCGCAGTGGGTGCACGTTGTGCTTGTAGACAAACTTCTCCTCCAGCACCATCTGGATGGAGACGATGATCTGGGCCATGATGATCAACAGATCCCCTGTGGGAAGAAGGAGGGGCCCAGGGTGAGGCCAGGGCTCGGGGAGACAGCTCCCTCAGGGATGGAAGAGCCCCCCATGGCCTCTGACTCTGCAGGGCATCCCTGAGCCTGATCTCCTGGCTCCCGAGGGGTGGGGCAGGCCAGCAGGGCAGGCACTGTCACCACCACCCCCCCGTCTCAGGTGAGGCTCCAGAGGCCCGGGGGCCTAAGGGCTGCACAACTGGGATAAGTGGATCTCTTGAGAAGCAATGGGGTTTGAGATGGACATTTCTGGCTTAATTCTGCCTCTGAGGGACCAGGGTGGCCACTTCACAGTAAAACTGCTGCAGGCCTTCCTTTCCAGGACCGTAAGGCTGACAGTGATGATGAGCACAGTGCATAGTACTGGCTGATCGCTGGGTAAGTGCTCAGTAAACGTTCATGCGTTTCCTCTCCTGGATCCTGTAGGTTGTGTGGCTGTAAGTAAATGTAGCCCGAGCCCTCTCCCTCCTCCGACCTCCCCACTCCTTACCCACCCCTCCCTCATGCTGCTTGGCCCTCACTTGCTCTCATCACTTCGAAAGCAGGTACAGGCCAGCAGCTGGTACCCTGCACACCCTCCCCCGAGGCTTGTCAGGCACCAGAGCCTGTCAAATGCTTTTTCCCCCGCCTCTGTGCTGGGTGACCCCTGGACGCCTGCCCCCAGCCACACCTGTGATCACTTCGCTGAGCTTGTGCTGGCTGTCATGCTTGCTCAGGAGGTCGGCCAGGCCCACCACCACCAACCCGGCGATGGTCGCGAGGATGCCCAGCCACTGGCTCAGCGCCAGCCTCCGTCCCAGGAACGCCACCGAGAACAGGCCTGTGAAGATGATCACGGCTCCCCGCAGCATCTGGAAGCTGGAGGCACTGGTCATGTTCAGGGCTGGGAGAGGAAAGATGTATGACGTGAGCTCTTGAGGGCCCGGTTGCTCTGTTCACTGAGGTGTCCTCAGGCTTGACACGTACTAAGTACTCAGTGAATGCTGGTGCTATGTGTGTGTGTAAAGGGGTGTGTGTGTGTGTGTGTAAAGGGGGAGCTGAAGATGAGCTGTTGTGTGTGTGTGTGTGTGTGTGTGTGTGTGTAAAGGGAGAGCTGAAGATGAATTGATGAGGATGAGACAGAGGATGAGATGGTTGGATGGCATTACCGACTCAATGGACATGAGTTTGAGTAAACTCCAAGAGTTGGTGATGGACAGGGAGGTCTGGCGTGCTGCAGTCCATGCAAAGAGTCGGACACGACTGAGCTACTGAACTGAAGATGAGCTGGGGGTGGGGGAGGCTCTTTCACCAGCATCCCCCTGGGGCTACAGTTTGAGCCCTTGGCAGCCTGGCCTGGCGACTCACCCACATACATGATGCTGGTCCCTGTCATGTCGCAGAGGGCTGGGGGCAGGAAAAGGAGAGGGTTGAAGGGCTGCTGGGGATCTGCGCTGGTGTCTGGGTGCCGCGCAGCTCTGCACCGGAGGAGGTAGAAGGCAGCCAGGCAGGAGAACTCTCCCAGGAACATGCCCACTGCCTGCAGGGACAGACCAGGCCAGTTCAGAGCTGGAAGGAGGTTCACCTGCAGCTAATTTTTTTTTTCTTTTGGCCATGCCACACAGTTTGGGTTTCCCTGGTGGCTCAGATGGTAAAGAATCTGCCTGCAATGTAGGAGACCCAGGTTCGATCCCTGGGTCAGGAAGATCTCTTGGAGAATGGAATGGCTACCCACTCCAGTATTCTTGCCTGGAGAATCCCATGGACAGAGAAGCCTGGCGGGCTACAGTCCATGGGGTGGCAAAAAGTCAGACATGACTAAGCGACTAACAGTTTACACGATTTTGGGATCTTAGCTCCCTGACCAGAGATCAAACCCATGCCTTCAGCAGTGAAAGCACAGAGTCCTAACAACTGGACCACCAGGGAAGTCCCATAACAAAAATTAAAAAAAAAAAATCTTTCTTCAAATAAGAGTTTACCTATAAACCCAACATGGAAAACAGATAAACGCAGAGCTCCTGTGTGGGAGCTGCTGCCTCCTACATCTACTCCTTAGTTCCTCAGGCACCTCGATGGAAACCCTAAGGCTATAGAGCCTGGCCGGAAAACACACCAGTCTAGGCCACTTCCTGGTCAAGTTGCAGATGGAGAAACTGAGACCCTGAGAGGCTCGAGAACTTATTTAAGGTCACAGAGCAAGTTGCTGGCAGAACTGAGGCTGAAATTTGTCTCACCCACTTCCTAGTTCAGCAATAAGGTAGCTTCCACTGGTGGTGCCTGCCCTGTCTCAGAGGGTCTGGGCTCCCCATGGTTGGAGAGCAAGTTTTACTAGGGGTTGATTTTTCCAAATGGGTCCTGACTTTGTCATGGTGAGGGCTGGCCTCACAGTGTCCAGGACATGACCACTCACCAGGACTTGTGCAGGCCTCCTACAGGGAACAGGGCCTTTGGCCCCTTTCAGGGGCACCCCACACCTTGGCCTGTGTTCTGGGGAGGGAGAGAGAGAAGTAGGGAGCAAGGGAAGACTCCACCCCTAGGACAGGAAACAGCAGGGCCTCATGGGGGCACCTGCCCTGAGACCTGGCAGACAGAGCTGGGAGAGGAGAGGAACAGATACCTGGAGGAAGGGGTGCTGAAAGCTGTGTTCCTGGCTCCCTCCACAGCCTGGGGCCACGAAGTTGTCCGCCCACCTGCAGCAGACAGAGAGAAGGTCAAACCCTGCAGTGCATGGGTTCCCCCACCTGGTCTCATGCCTCCTGATGCCAAGAGGCCAGACTGAGGGGACTCGGCCCAGAGTGGGGTTCCCCCTTGAAGGGGCTAGTCTTCATGGTAAGCGGTCTTCACCTGGGAGTTGCAACAGAAAGTAGGGACCTGGGCACCTTTAGCTGAAATCTCATGAACCGCTAGCAGAAATTTAGCATTTCTTCAAATTATACTATTGCAGGACCTACAGCTCTGTCACACATGGAAATCACAGCTATTCTCATTTTCACATTCGAGTCATTGTAGGTACTGTGAAGTATCACACTCATCACTAGTCAAAAATTACAATACTTAGACCCACTGCTTTTAATTTCATGTGTTAAGAACTGCATGCACATACCTTTTACTATATTACAAACTAGCTTTTTTAATGTCTGGATAATCTTATTTTAATGCAATTAGCTTTTTCTGTAAGCCTTGGGGTTTTATTTGCACACTTCAAAACACTACTCTAGGCTTCACCAGACTATCAAAGGCCCCATGCTCAAAAAATATAGAGTCTCTAGCCTGCAGGTCACAAGGGCCCTGGGAAAGGGCCACCTGCCACAGACCGCCCGGTCACCTTCACATAACCTGAAGGGTCCAGCCAGTTTCTCTAGCAGTGGCTTAGAAGCAGGCAAGGACATGGCACTGTGCAGCAGCCTGCCAGCCAGCGCCCAACAGATGGGCTGACTCTGGCATGTGGCCCCACCGAGTCCAGAACCTGTCATGGCACAGTGCTCTGGGCAGCTGCTACCAACCATTCCACACTGACCAACGTCTGTCACTAAAGCTTTTGCCCCTGAATTTCATTTTCACTGGGCTGTGTTATGTCCCTGGAATTGAAACTCTCCTTCATCTGAAAGCCCTTCATATACTTGGAGATGTTTCCACCTTCTGAATCTTCTGGTTAAGCAGCTCCAGCCCTTGCTAACCTTTCCCTCCCTGGCTGCTGACTTCTGGAAGTGCTCCGGTGGGCCCAGGCCCAGACCCAAGGCATGTGATCTGGCCTGGATGGAACTGGGCAACAGGCCCCTCCCATGTGTTGGACATCCTGGTTAGTTGACCTGGCTTGGACTGTTATCTGCCATATCACACTGCTGACTCAGGTCAATGCAGGCCCAGGGCTACTTTCTGTGGGCCACTGACCTGCCTATGCTTCCCCCACACCGGACCATAGCGCCCCATGCATAGGCAGTGGCTATCTTTAAAGTGTGTGTGTTAAGTCACTTCAATCGCGTCTGACTCTTTGCGACCCTATGGGCCATAGGGTCACCAGGCTCCTCTGTCCATGGGATTCCAGGCAAGAATACTGGAATGGATTGCCATTTCCTCCATGAGGGGATCTTCCTGACCTAGGGATCAAACCCATGTCTCTTGCATCTCCTGTGCTGGCAGGCAGGTTCTTTACCACTAGCGCCACCTGGGACTTCTGAAATGTCTTTCCTAATGTTATCTGTCAACAGCAGCTACAATGTGATCCCCACCCATCTTCCAGCTCCTCTCTGCACAAGCCTCAGCTCCCAGAGGGCAGGGAAGCCTTGTGCCTCCTGAGCCCCGAGCAGGGGCCACTCCACCTGCAGGTCTGGGTTCGACAAAGATCCTGAACCAGGTAGACCTGGGTTCAGTCCCTGGGTTGCGAAAATCCTCTAGAGAAAGAAATGGCAACCCACTCCAGTATTCTTGCTTGGAGAATCCCCATGGACAGAGGAGCCTGGCAGGCTACAGTCCATGGGGTCATAAAGAGTCGGACACGGCTGAGCGAGGAACACACACAAGGCGGGACTTCCCTGGGAGCTCTGTCCCACAGCCTGGGGCAAGGGCACGATGCCCAGATGCAGGCAGCAGGCAGGCCGGGCTGAGCAGTGATGGCAGCACGAAGTGGGAGGGAGAGACCACATCTACAAAGAAATCTGAACACATCCTAGGGTGAGTGAACAAAACAGGGCTATGGCAGACTTATCTCAAGGTGTGAGACCCCATCCACTCCCAAAGATGTGAGGAGGGACGTTAGGACCAGTGCTCCCTTGGGAACAGTGGAGGTCACACACAGGGGAGCCGATGGGCCCTTAAGGAGAAATGCTGATGTGCCTGGTTGGGAACGCAGAGGAAATCTGGGTCGGGGGATCAGGATGTAACCAGACCCAGTATCAAAGGGGCAAAGAAAGCCCCCACTAAGGACAGAAACTGCCTGTTCTCCAAGGGGTCTCACTTCTGCTTGATCTGCGGTAGATTCTGACTCGGGGATCCCTCCCCGTGCAGGAGAGGACCTGGCACGTAGGCCAGCTGCCACCTGCACGGCCTACCCAGGTAGCCCACTCTCCTGCCAGACTCATTGTCACAGACAGAGCCCTGGCGGAGGGCCTGGGTGAGGCAGCTGAGCCAAACAGAGAGAAGCAGGGAGAGCGAAGAGGTCAAGCTTTACCAAGGGCACAGAGACAACAGCCCTGGAGCGAGTGAGCAGGTCAGAGAGAGTTCCCAGGGCTCCTCCAGGAGGAACAAGGGAGGTCTTGCCAAGTTCGTGGTCAACGAGAAGCCTAGGACAAGGGCTGGTATGAAAGCCCCTTCTCCCTCCTGGGGCCGCACCCAGAGCGCAGACTGGCAGGCTCAAGAAGACCCCCAATCTGGCGGTGGGGCCATCTCCAGGAACTCCCCTGGGCTGCTGCCTGTGCATCTGATGGTCACCATTCACACCTGTGTCACTTTCTGGTCCCACAGTCACTGTCACTAGAGAGGATGTGCGCTCAGCCTCCAGTAACTTCCACAGCTTTCTTTGCTCCTAGAACCTTATTATACACAAGTTTAAACTGTTTGGGTTGAATGAATGGACTTCTAGACCCCACTGGACAAACAGGCAGGTGGTGGACTACAGTCCAAATACACAGTGCTAATCTGCCACCTGGTCTGAGTTGCCCCCTGCTGGTGGGACGAGCCAGGCCTGCCCTTCCCTAGGGATGGGCACCTTGAGGAGTGCTGGAGGGCTGGTGCTAAGCCTCCTCCCCTCCCCTGGTGCTGACTCCTTTCTCCAAGGGTTGGGTCTGCCTGAACAGGCTGGACTGGGCAGGTTCCCAGCAGGGGAAATGCAACCTTTTTGTATCTGAGGGACTGGGGCAGGTTTACAGCCCCAGGGATTAGGTGTCAAGACAGGCTGCCCAGCCCAGCCTCTTTGGGCCAGGGAGGAGTTCAGGCCTGCAGTCACTTTGGGAAGGAGTCAAGCTTCCCATCTTGGCCCTGGGAAAGGTTTGGCTCACTGCACAGTCACAGAAGCCCTCAGGTAGCACAGAACAAGTGCCAAAAGCCAGCCCTGGCTCATCTGGGGGTGACATCAGTGACTCCCCAATGGGATAGCATTTGTCTCCTTGAAAAACGCTTCCCTAATGTGTATTTATAAATGCACAGTTCATTGTGCACTGACTTTGTACCAGACCTGTACTACTCCTTGAACTGGCTGAGCACTTCATGTGGGCAGTGTGGTTTAAGTCTTATAACAAGGACCCTCATTTTAGAGATGGGGACTTTAGGCCTTGGGCGGGAGAGAGCCGTTTCAGCCTCATACAGTTAACGGGTGGATCTAGGGCCAAATCCACCTGCTTGAACTTATTTTCAGAAAAGTTAGCAGGATATGTGGAAAGGTCAGACTTCAGACTTTTGAATGTCACAGGCTGGGTGAGTTATAGATTTCTCACCTATAAAATGGGGATAATGATGCCAACACTGATGAACTTGCAAAAGTAATAAATAAGACTTAAAAGACCTGGCAGATGGCAGGGAGTCAATAAAAGATCTTTTCTGTCTCTTCTCCCTCTTTCTCCTCTGCTGTTGTAATGCCAAAGAAGATGAAGCTTTAGCAGTTCTATGAAGACCTACAAGACCTTTTAGTACTAAGACCAAAAAAAAAAAAAGATGTCTTTTTCATCACAGGGGACTGGAATACAAAAGGAGGAAGTCAGGAGATATCTGGAGTAACAGGCAAGTTTGGGCTTGTAATACAAAATGAAGCAGGACAAAAGGCTAAGAGCTTTGCCAAGAGAATGCACTGGTCATAACAAACACCCTCTTCCAAAAACACAAGAGACAACTCTACACATAGACATCACTATATGATTAATACTGAAATCAGATTGATTATATTCTTTGTAGCCGAAGATGGAGAAGCTCTATACCGTCAGCAAAAACAAGACAGGGAGCTGACCGTGGCTCAGATAACTCCTTATTGCAAAATTTTCCTCTGAGCTGGGTGGGTGTGGCCCCAGCTCTACTCCACCTGAGGCTTCCAGGGAGACTCTCTCCTCTGCGACCCATCCTGCAGGACGAGGAAGCTGGAGGGCCACAGAGTGCCGAAAGAGGAGGACAAACTTGGCCATCATCTCGGGAAGCTCCTGGTTTCACAGACAAGAAACCCAGGGGCCAGAGAGGGCTTGGGGCACACAGGGAAGTTCTAGTGCCCATGAGCCTCCACCCCCTGCTCTGTGCTCCTTCCTCAATACCAAGGACCTTCTTCCTCCTGATCCTTTCCACTTCCCTGGCTGAGGTGGGCCCCCCGCTCTCTGGACACTCTTTTCTGGGGACAGCTGTGGTCCCTAGGGCAGGAGGCCTGTGGGGACCCAGGAGGCTCAGGCTGAGGCCACATGAGGAAGTGCCTCCCACTGGCAGAAGTGGGTTCCTTCAGAGTTCCCTGGGCCTCAGAGGCCTGCGGGGTGGGCTCACCTTCCTGGGGGATGAGTCATGCTGTTGTGGCCTGGCCCAGTCAAAACTCCAGGCTCAGCATTCCCAGAGGGGTGTGTGTGTGTGTGTGTCTGCGTGGGGCTGGGGGTGGTGGTCAGAGGCTGAGGAAGTGGCTGGTGTGGCTGCCTCGGATCCATCAGTGTGTGTCCTCTTCCCACAGAATCCGGGCCATTTCTGCTCATATCCTGATGAGTCAGCCTCTTTCTCCTGCTCCGGACCTTAAGAAGGGCCCCAGGGCTTCTCCACCCTCTGGGTGTCATAGCAGGTGGCTCACGTGGTAAGACATGATGACAGCCCTTCCATCTCTTAAGGCTAAGAAGACTTCTCAGGAGCTCTTACAACATGCGTAAGAGGTGCGGCAGGGATTTTGTACCCATTTTATAGATGAAACTGAAGCTTGGAGAGGCCCAGTGACTCATCTAACCCCACAGCTGCCAAACCACATGCTCTCTCCTCTCCTACACTGCCCTCCCCAATGCAGGCTTTCTCCAGATTTCAGGCTTTCTCCAGCCGGCATTAACCCCTTGGAAGCAATTATCCTGTGCTGCTCACAGGGTTGGGGGGAGGGGCAGCTGGCAAGGCTGCCCAGGACCCAGCAGGTCTAATGGCTGGAGAACATGGCCCCATGGCCCCTTCATGGGAGGGGTGGGCTTCACAGCCTGCAGAAGTTTAGGAGGGAAGCTGAGCCTTCCTGAGTGAGTGTCTACTTGACCCTGGCTCTTTATGTGCAGAACCCCAGCTGGATTCAGGAGGATACAGTTCCAAAAGGCTCACTGGTTCTGGCAGACAGCCCCACACAGTGCCAGGGGAAGCTGAAATGTCTGGTCTCTAGGATGCGCACCAGCAGAAGGCCTGGTAGTCTGGGAAGAAGGAGTCACAGAAAGGAGAAGGGAGGGGACCTCTGCCCACACCCAGGGGCCTGCCTGATCCATGACTTTCCCTTCTGCACGCAAGTGACCCCGAGCCCAGCCCAGCCCAGGCAGGCTGGCTCCTTGCAGGGCACCCAACACCTCCTGAGTGGGCAGTGACCTCCTCCAGCAGACAGCTGACCAATGGTCGCAGTACACGTGCTTACGTCCACTTCCTCATCCACTGTCTTCAGTCCTCCCAAGAAGCCGGGGAGGGAAAAATCATGCTTATTCAACAGCCCAGACACTGCAAAAGGCTACTGGAGACTCTAAACCTGAACCCTGAGTGAGTGCTGAGACAGAGGCTTCAGATGCTTGCCACCTGGCCCCAGAGCGAGGGCACTCCGATGGCAGGGAGGGGAGATGCCGCTGATAGGGTTACAGCATCCACAGGCACATGCTTGCCTGTTTTTGTCCAGGGAGGTGTAAGAGAAAGCCCCAAGGAAGAGGAAGTTTGGGGGACTGGACCAAAATGCTGAGAGCTAGGTTCTAGACACCAACCAGCTGAATCACATACACAAAAACTTTCCTTGGGACCTTGACTGTAAATTGTAGGGATTAGAATGGATAATTTCTATGCTTCTAACAACTCTAAATGCCCCTGAGAATGACTAGAGAAGTCCCCAGCCTCATCCATATTGGCGGTTAAGAGCATGGATTCTAGAACCAGACTACTTAGGCTCAAAATCAAACTCTGTCCCTTCATAGCTCAGTTGAACTTGGGCAAGCAAGTTCCTCTTTCCAGAATCTCACTTTCCTTATCCAGGGACAAGAAATGTATCTACCTCATAGGGTGATGATGAGAATTCATTAACTCACGAAAGGCGGCTGGGGCAGGACCTGGTACATGCTATTCTCTGTGTCTGTGTATTAGCTGGTTAGCACTTACTTGCTGTGGTCACATTCCCATCTGTCTGTTCCTGCTGGAACCTGGAGGTGAGAGTGTGATTTCAAATCGAAAATCCCCATCAGGATGTACACCGCTGCTTTCCCATGTTCTTTCTCTGACAGCATCCTTCTCATATTCTGGCCTCAGAACACTGCTGAGGGTCCAATACTAGGGCCTGTCACAGGGAGGGAGGCTCCTGAAAAACCCCACATCAGGTCACAGGCAAGGGCTGGGTCCCCACCTGGAAGCCTCTTTCTGGCCTCTCAGGTGGCCTCCAGGGACAAAGCCTCCTGGGGCTGAGGATCTTCTGGTTTCTCATCAGACTGGTTTGGACCTCTTTAAGGAAGGAGCTGAGTCAGCACAGGTAACCTCAGTAGTTACTCAGCTCTCCGTGGGGACAGTGGCCTTGGCAGATCACAGCCACCCCGTAAGCACCAGACTGAGGCCTTGGCTTGTGGGACTGATGGCCAATGACTTGCTCTGTGGCCTTCAGATCCTAACAGAGATGGAAGACCTCAGGTGGAGTTTCCTTTATAGCTAAGTGCTCAGCAAGAGAAGCACCCTTCAGGAGGCCTCAGGGCCCAGGAGCCCAGCACAAGACACAGACATGGCTGGCCAGAGCCCAGTGGGAGAGACAGGTGGGCCCCACCCAGAGGTCCACTTTCCTGTGGAGGAGGGAGGACACTGTGCTTGTCAAGCATGTACACATCTGTCTCACCCACTGCAGATTCTAAGCATCTCAAAGGCCAGGACTTTCTCTTGGTCACTTCTGTCTTCTTCCCTGAGTCTAGGCTCCCATACTGTAAGTACCTTATATATGTCTGAAGAATTGAACAGAAGACCTCTCTCCAAGACCTCTCTTCTAGGGCATTTCTCAGATCACTGATGGAGTGTGCTGGGGAAAAACACTCTAGAAAATGAGTCAGATACAACCATCCCCAGGACCCCCACGGGCCTGGGGCACCGCCCTCAGGGTGACTGGAGTGACTCCCCTTTGCTTCGAGCCTGGCAAGACCCAGGTGGAAGTGAGGTCTGACTGGGAGAGGGTCACTATCTACTGTCTTCCACATGCACCTTGGAACTGGCTCAGAGAAAGTCTGGGCTCTGGGTATTGGGGCTCGTGGTGGGCAGAGGGGCAGGAAGGCCTGGTGCCGAGCTAGGGACAGAGAAAGAGCCAAAGGGCCATCAAGAGAAGGGGCTGCCTTTCGGGGCCTCCTGCTTTTTACAAAGAGGAGACTGTGCTGGGTCCTGCTGCCTCATGACAGCCCTAGGTCATCAACTCCCAACCTTCTGAGGACTGTCCTTATGGGCCCATGAGCACCACACCCTCTGACATCAGAGCAGAACTCCCCCTGCCTGCCCTGTCTGGGTTAATAACACTCCTGTTCTCTCAGGCAGAAGCCCAGGAGCGACTATTTGATCCTGTGGGTCAGGCCTCGTGGTGTCACTCTGCACCTGGTTTCTCCCACCTGGCCCTTCCCTTCCCACCTCACCTCCACCTCCAAGGTCCCCTCATCTGCTGTGCAGCAGCCCTGGAGTGGTATTCCCTCCAGCAAATTACTTTTCGCCTTGACCACCAGGTTCACTGAATCACTTTCTCAAAAGCCTCTCTTTGATTGTGGGATAAAATCCAGCCTGGGCATTTGAAGCGAGTTACAATCCCCTTAGAACTGGCCTTGCTGCTCCTGCCTCGAGGTTCCCACCACAGCAGAAATTCCACCCAAGCTTCAAGGCCCAGCTGAAACCAGTTCTCCAGGAGGACCCCTCGGAGCACCCCCTACTCTGTCATCGCAGCACTCCATGCTCACGGGTCACTCGGCTAACGTGGCATCTATCGTATCCCTCCCTGGCCCACAGTTCCTGGAGGGCCGCACCCCTGATGCCACCTTGGAAGGGGCAGCGGAGAAGAACGCCCTCCCATTAAAGATGTTGAGTTGGAAAGTGACTCGCTGGGATCAAAGCGGGGGCTCGGATCTCCAGCGAGGACACTGCTCGCTCCTCCTCGCATTCCCCGGTGCCTTGCACCTCTTGGGTGGTCCGTAAACCGCGTGAACCGATCAGAGAAACTGGGCTGGCTGGTGAGGCCAGGAAATGACAGCCGCGAAGGGGGAGGGCGCAGGGGGAGGGCGGGGGTCACCAGCGCCCCTGCGGGCGGCTGCAGACCCTGCCAAGCCCCCACCCCTCCAGGCCAGGCCCGGACTCACTTTGCCGAGAGCGTGTTGATGGAGCCGGTGACGAGCATGAGCCCGGCCAGGAACAGCTGGTACTTGGTCCAGGCCATGGCGGCGGATGCGGGGAGCGCGATACTACAGAGACCCCCCGCAATCTCCGCGCTCGCTCGAGATGGTAGCTAGCTACCCGGTCACCAGGGGGTGTCGGGCGCGAGCGCTTCCGGGCCGGGAGTCACGTGACCCTAAAAGGCCCCGCCCCGCGCCGGCTCGCTCCGCCCCAGGGAGGGCTACGGTCCCGGGCTTCTGCGCCCGCGACCTCGGTGCGGGTGCTCTCTCGAGCGGGATTTGCGAGCTCAGGTCCCCACAGAGTGACTGGCAAATCAGGGCCCCAGGTCTCCCCATCTGCAAAAGAGGCTGATGGGACGATGCAATGAGATTGCATCCGTGGATGTTAGAGCGCTCTGTAAACCCTTTAGAGAAATTGAGCTAAACAATGTCAGAGGCAAGTCACAAAGTAGAAACGCCCCACATGGGAATCTCGTCTCTGCAGGGTACCCAGCGAACTCCCAGGAGGCCTGAGACTAGTGCCTAGAGATCCCAACCCGTGGTGTGGCTCACATCTTCCAGAAAAGTGGTGTAAGAGTCTAGTTCCTGCTCCTAGGAGACCATTTTATAGCAAAGGAAACCAAATTGAGAGAAGCCAAGTGGTTTGCTTTTGATCACACTACTGAGTTATGGGGGGGGGGGGGGGGGGTTGGACGCAGATTCTTCAGTGTCCCCCAGATCTGTGCTTTCTGCTAAGCCCCTCCACCAGTCTCAACCCACTGCTCTCCCCGCTCAGGGCTTTATGTTCAACGGCGTCTCAGCTTTTGAAGTCCTGCTCCTGGTTCTCGGCTCCCAGCTGCCCTCTGTCCTCACCTCTGGGTCTCTGTCTGCAGCCCTTGCTCGTGTCATACCACAGGCTGGAGCTCAAGACCTTGGAGGATGTGCTTCAGACCCAGTGAGCACATTGCCTCACCACTGCAGATCTTGTTGCTAGAGCTGCGGAGATGGGGCCTGCCTGCCCACCCCTCCTGCCTGCCCTAAGACTGCCTTGACCTTGTGATGATGACCAGTGTTGAATCAGGAAAAACGCTCAAGGGGCTGGACCAGGAAGACCTGATAGAGAAGGTGTTTAAGTGAGGTTTTTGGCAATATTGGGAGGTCACAGGATAGAGGGGAAGGGCTGTCCCACAGGGGGGAATGGCAGTGCCTTTGCCCAGAGGTATATGTGGGCATGGAGTGTGTCTGCGACCCACAGACGATCCGGGAACTTTCCTACAATGTGGCCTGTTCTTTTCAGTCAGTGCGGAAGTCGAGAGATGCAGAAGGAGGTTTCTTCTGCACTTATCTTCAACACCACCACCAGTTTCAGGTGAAAGGATTACTTCAGTTTTCCAGAAATACTGAGTGAGATGCTGGGGCATGTAGAGATGAATGAATTTCTGTCCCAAGGAGTAGACCAGCTCAGTCCAACACCAGCTGCATAGCCCATCCCTGTGGGCTATGACACTATAGCGCTATGATGCACTTGGGGTCTCTGGACTGTTCTCCCCATGCGTATCAAGCCAAGGACACTGTCTTGAAACAAACATTACTAATGATTAGTGGTGTCATCAGCCCCACATGATGTCACTAGTAGCACAGTCTTTGTCTCCACAGTCACATCATAAAATGAATTTTAATTTATCATGATGTTCTGATCATTCATCAAACTGCTATCTCTGGAGTCGGGAGACAAAAGGATTTATAGGCAAATACACTTGGAACCCTCTAAGTGCCAGGGGAAGGGGAAGGGACCCCAAAGACAAGCAAGAGACCTCAAGGAGTTGGGATTTCACAGAGGAGAGCAGTGAGTTCACCAGTCACCATGCAGCAACGTGAGGATGTGTGAGAGGCAGTGTTAGTCGCTCAGTCAGGTCCAGCTCTTTGCGACCCTGTGGACTGTGGCCACCCAGGTTCCTCTGTCCATGGGATTCTCCAGGCAAGAATACTGGAGCCGGTAGCCATTCTCTTCTCCACAGGATCTTCCTGACCTAGGGATTGAATCCGGGTCTTCCAGATTGCAGGCAGATTCTTTACCATCTGAGCTACCAGGGAAGCCTGTAAAAGGCAGACAGGATTGTAGAAGGGAGGGATCCCCCGAGAGGGGTGGGAGTAAGGGCATGACAGAGACAATCAGAGCTGTCCTGGAACAGCCACCCAGTCTGTGCCAAGAGTTTGACCTCTGTGACCTCAGTTTTCACAGTAACCCCATGTGCTAGAATTCAGGGGAGCTTTGAGCAGGGGCTTGAAGGATGAGCAGAATTGCTCCAGGTGCAGAAGAGGCAACCATGTGGACACCCGAGGGGTTGGGAGCCATTGACCTACAATGAGGTTCCACGTGTCTGCAGGTCTGGCTAGACTACACTTTCCAGGTAGAAAGTAAGGTTGATGTTAGTGAACCCAGATAGCAGCAAGGCTTGGGGCCTCAGAAGATTGGAATTCTGAGAAAAGTAGAGAGGAATCAGGGTGGATATTGTGGACAAATAATGTAATTTGCCATTTCAGGAAATGGTGGTCATAAAGCCACCCCGAGCAGTGCATGTGCACCCTGCGGGGATTCAGTTTGGAGAAAAACAGGATGCTGGCCCTCCGTGGTTAAGGTGCGTATCAAAGGAATAATTTCAGTAAGCCCAGACTCCTGCATTGCCCCATACAAAGTAAAGCACTAAAATCATTAACTTGAGGTATCTTTTTTTTTGTGTGTATGTGTGAATAGGAGGATTAATGTTAACATTAGGATTAATGTTCAACCATAGGTTTTTTGTTTTCCCCAGCAAAAACTATATATTCTGGCTCCTCCCTTACCTTTAAGGAACAGTTCTTCAAAGCTATCCAAGAATCTGATTCCCAGGCTACAGTCATCAGTAAGTTCATCAAATAAAGTTCTCAGTTTTTATGTTTTGTGTGTGTGTGTGTGTGTGTGTGGCCCCCCAGGCCAATTTTCAGTTGACGATATGTTCATACACTGGCTTTGCAAAATCCTTCAGATTGTTATTTGATGAAATTCAGGGGTAGAGCTTCAGGTGTATTTTTGTTGCAGTGAAAAGGTAAAAGAGGTAAAATGGTAAAATGAATTTTTCTTTCTTTCCCTTTCCTGAGAACAAAGAAGATAAAGACAATAGTGAGCAGGCCTGATCATTCCCAGTTTTTACTTTAACTGTTCCTAATCTGTAGTCTAGAAGTAAGTTTACTTTTCTCAAAACTAACTTGACACTATGTAATTTACATCCTGCACCTAACTCTCCCAGACTGCATGAGCTACATTCTGCACCTGTTATCTTTTAACTCTATGCTAATTACATCCTGTAGCTGGTGCTTACCTTTACCCCAGACCACCCTTTGTGGTCAGAAAGAAGCCTGAAGTACAATAAACCGGAGACAAAGGGACCCAATTACCGGAGTTACCTGACTCCAGCTCTGACTGTTTTGAGACAAAGCAAGAAGAAGAATGCAAGACCTTCATAACTTCAAGCCTCATCATTTACTCTAAGACCACAAGACCCAGGCTGTACAAAGTGTCTCCGTTTCCCTAGGAGGTGGGACACAGTTTTTGAGGTACTGGTCTGCTGTGTTCTCCCCTCAGCTGGCTGAGGATTAAAGCCATATTTCTGTTTCCTCCAAACTCTGTCGCCATACTTTTTGTTTGACTTCAGTGGGCAGAGAAAGCCAAGATTATGGCAATAACCTTTTGGATGCAAATTTGCCTCATGATTTTGTAAGTCCTGATTTCCTGGGTTTAGTAACATGTTCCCAAACGAGCCACAGATGTTGTTAATATTGGGTACTTGGCCTGGATCTCTGCCCTCCTAAATTTTGGGCGAGATCTGGTGTCCTTGAGGATGCTGCCTAGGGAAGCCAGTGAGGACTTTGGTGGCTGGGGACAGTGGCAATGGATGGGTAAGGTGAGGTGGGGCAGGGAGATTAGGGGCTCTCCGGGGCCTCCTCTCTTCCACTCTGAACCTCTACAAAGTCAAAGGTGAGTCAACCTTCTTTGGGTGGTGATCTTGCCCGTCAGAAGAGCAGTTGTCTTGTAATTGTTCAGTTTTTATTGTCTTGATTAAAGACTTCAGGTTGCCCTAAGATTACCTAGAGTTACCTGAAAGGGGGCAAATGTAGCAAATTTCAGCAAAGGGAGGAAATTTACTGAGCATTAGGGCTTCCAAGGTGGTGCTAGTGGTAAAGAACCCGCCTGTAAATGCAGGAGACCTAAAAGACTTGGGTTCAGTCCCTGGGTTGGGAAAATCCCCTAGAGGAGGACATGGCAACCCACTCCAGTATTCTTGCCTGGAAAACTCTATGGACAAAAGAGCCTGGCGGGCTGCAGTCCATGGGGTTGCAAAGAGTCAGACATGACTGAAGTGACTTAGCAATCATAGCATTCACACATAGGGATGCCAGAGCCCCAGAATTCTCCTGTGTGGATGCGGTGGTGGGTGGCGATAGGAATTTTTTCATGTATGCCTAAGAATGCAGAATCTTCAGGAATGTAATGACAATGACATCTGTGCAGGTTGTCTCAGGTTGGGGAAGAGAGAGAGGCTGGGTCAGCCACTTAGAGCAAAGTGACCAGGTTCAGTCACTTAACCATATAGAGCCCTTCTTTGCTATCTGTAAAATGGGAACAAGGTGTCCACAGCTTGTTGTACAGAGAGAAGGCGGGCAGATGCGGAAGTGCAGGGGGAGGTGTGGGCAGAGTTAGTGTACCTCCTGTGAGGTCAGAGCTGGTCTAGCCCAGCGGTGCCAAGGCAGATCTCAGGCTGTACATTAGGAAGCACTTCTGATTTGCATAAGAGTGTGATCCAGGCTTTGGGCCTTTTCTCTCAAAGTCCAGGACATTTTGAACAAATTTGCATGCTTCCTTCAAAGAGCCTCTAGTTTCCAGAGTAAAGTAAAACACATCACTGCAAACTCCTGCATTTGTATTCAAAGCTTGTGAACGCCTGCCCGTGGCTTGTCTGAAAGACTGACGGTTTCTCCAATCAATTTAATCACATTTTGGATTAAGGAAGTATAGCAACACGTGGGC